GAAATTTAGCCCTTGTCCTCACAAATTCCCAAAATTTTTGCCTGCGATGCCAGGAAAGGAAGAAATCTGGCTTGTTATCCTCACAAATTCTCAAAATTTTTGCCTGCGATGCCAGGAAAGGAAGAAATCTGGCTTGTTATCTTCACAAATTCTCAAAATTTTTGCCTGCGATGCCAGGAAAGGAAGAAATCTGGCTTGTTATCCTTCCAAATTCTCAAAATTTTCGCCTGCGGCGCTGTTAAACGAAGTTTATATCGGAGGATCTGGATGGATGAAGGCGTATTTTAATTTACAGCTGTGATTTCAAGGGGTCATAGGTAATACCGAGGGATCTGGGTGTAATATTGAGGGATTAAGCTGTGCAAGGTAGATAGAAGGGATAGGATAGCCGGGGATTTGGCCTTCCAAAACTTGGCATGTCTCACTTGGCCTTCCGAAATTCACAAAATTTTCGCCTGCGGCGCTAAAAGGAAGGAAGAATAGGTTATTTTTGATAATTTGCATGGATTAATGGGGATTTGGAAGATACTGGGTGATTTCGTGTACCAAGAGTTAAAATAGGGGGGGCATATCATGGGATTTAAGTAGAACGGTTCGGTTTTACGGTTCGATTTTGGTTAACCGAAAGTTTCGATTCGGTTAGTCGTTTCGGTTAACAGAATAATTGAGTTAAACCGACAAACCTACTTTGAATTCAAATTTCTTATAATTTTTTTTAAATTTTTTAAATTTGCTAGAATTTTTTTTTAAAGTTCCGGTTCCGGTTCCGGGCCGGAACTTAGAAAAGTTCCGGTTCCGGTTCCGGGAACCGGAACTCAAATTGGATCCGGTTCCGGTTCCGGTCAAAATTTCGGTTCCGGTGAAACCCTACTAAATAGTCAAAAAATGACGTAAGAACGCAAAAATGAGGGAAATTTTTTTATCGATTTAAAAATGGGGTATCACTAAATATCACCGATTCATACTTGATTTTGGGAAGATACCGAAGGTCATTAAGAGATATGGGTGAATTTGATGGATACATAGAGTTGTAGAAATAGCGGGGGGTATAGACACGCGATACGGAGACGATAATTTTTTTGCAAAAATGGCACACCCCTGAAATATATTATTTTTGTATCTTGCATGTATGTATATCATGCATAACGTAATCATAAATTGTAAATGTACAAACTAAATATTAACTAAATAAATATTAGTCAATAGAATTGAAATTTGCTACTAAACAATATTTAAATAAATATTTTTACAATTGTAACAATTTTACATCTTTTCTCTTGTTATTTCTTCTGAATCCAAATAAAATTCATAACTTCCATCATTAATTACAGGATCAATTGAGGTAAAATATACCTCATGCTCATATTTATTTTGAAATTCCTCGGCAGCGGTTATACCTTGAAGAGGTAAGGTAAAAGAAGGTGATACAACATTCATTTGACCATCTTCAATATCACTTGTCTCTGTTTTTGATATATTTATTATTATGATTTGTCTCAAACTTTTCAAAACTTTTTTCTCCAAATCAGAAATTTTCTTGAACATTTTGAACACACATTTTTCCTCGTTTGCTTTTTTAATTTTAACGTAGAATTGAAGCCATCCAATATTAATATTTCTCCAAACAATAATAAAATAATTTCCTGGATTTTCAAATTTTAAACAAATTTCAATGTGAGAATATTCCATTTTCCCTCCATGTTTGTTGCCTTTTATTGAAGTTGATTCAATTAAATTAGCCTTGCTAAAATTTTCTCTTTTTAAAATTTTTCTAGGCCCTTCCAGATCCAAAAAACATATTAATCTAGTTAGTTTATTAACATATAAGTCTGTCCAGAAAATTGATTTTATTCCGTTTATGTTAATTTCTAATCCAGAATTATTAGCAGCCTTTGCTATATCCTCATTTGACAGTTTATTTAATTCCAAATCAATTTGTGCAAAAAACAATGGTACCAATGTCATTAATCTCTAAATAATAAAATATAGTCGGACATCGAATTTTAAAAAAGTCTAAGAAAATCGCGAAAAACGGAAGGAAAATTTTCGTGAAGCTCTGATTTCGACTTACACTTATGTATACCTTATTATCTGGCTCAATACCATATTTAAATCCTTTTAAGCAAATTTCTATTCCATGTATATAACTATCCCTGAATAAATCCTCAATCAAAATTAATTTTTTCCCATTATCTCCATTAATTATCCTTTTAATTTTGTGTGTAGTTTCGTCAAGGAGATCATACTCACAGTTGTCATTTACATAAATGTAGTCGTTTTTATTATTTTCATCAATTTCATATAAAATTTCAATTTTGTAGCTTTCTTCAAGATAAAATTCCGTCATATCTTCCATCTAATTTTTGGAAAGGCACTAAAAGAAGGCACGAAAAGGCACTAAAATAAAGTTTAGGTCTTATCTACGGAACGCGTTATTCTCATAATATTCAAAAAGTGTAAAGCTGCTTTTTAGGATCAAGTGTCGCTGAAGCGACGTCTGCGATGAAGAAGATTTAGGGTAGGGGATCATTGAATCCCGAGACGGTTGAGTCCCGAGCTCTATAACTCCGGAGCAGTTCAACTGAGTCCCGGCTCAACTGAGTCCCGGCCCTATAACTCAGCAAGGAATGGTCACTTTTTAATGTTTTTGGTATCATTGGATAGAGAATCAAAAGCTCTACAAAATATCAAAAAATCAGAATTTTTGACCGATTGATAAAAAAGTTATGATCTAAAAGCTAACTTTTTCAAAAAAATCTGATTTTTCGGCACTTTATCGATCATAACTTTTTTACCAGTCGGTCAGGAATTTTGATTTTTTGGTATATTGTAGCCTAGTTAATGCCCTATCCAATGGTACCAAGAATAACAAAAAGTGACCATCCCTTCATAAGTTATAGGGTCCGGGACTCAATTGAGTCGGGACTCAATTGAGGTGTACCGCTATAACTCCAGAGGGATTGCGTAGTTTTTTGAACTCTTGGTATCGTTGGATAGAGGATTAATTAAGCTACAAAATAAGCTATTGTTCAAAAAATTTGATCGACAGGTACCAAAGTTATGATTAAAAAACCTCCAAAAAATGACTTTTTTAAAAAATGGCGGTTTTTTGATAATAACTTCATTATCAGTTGATAAGATTATTTTATCTTTGGTATCATTTTGTAGAGAATTTAATTCTCTATCCAATGGTACTAAAAGTTCAACAAATTATTTCCAAATTCCCGAGTTACAAGCTCGGGACTCAACCGGCCAGGGACTCAATGATCCTGTTCCGGAAGATTTAAATATTTTTGATTAATTTATTGGTTATCTTTTGCACTGTCTATTTTTTACTCGTTTGTCTTTTGCCTCGGGCAAAAGACAAGATTTAAATATTTTATGTTAGCCACACCCTTTTGTGCTAGCCCCATTTCTGATCGTTTCTCCATTAGCTTAATCATTTTATTTATTTTTAAGTTTTAAGCTATTTTAAGCTCCTTTGTCTCTGTATAAATTCTCCTTCATTTAATCAAATTTTTCCCCACCTGCGTTTATTTATTTTTTACTTAGGTTTTGGCCTATAAAATTCAATTTAACTTTCTGGCCAAACTTAAGTTTATTATTTTCCACCTAATGTCTAAATATTTCTAATTAGGTATTTCAACTTATTCTAAATTTCTACATCTTTATGCCTCTCATAATCTCATATTAAATTAACTAAAATTCACATTTTTGGAGAATTAAGGGAATTCTCGAAACAATCAATTTCAATTCCCGACAGTGCGGTTTCACACCATGTCGCGCCGCACACCGAATTTATTTTCTTCAGCGACATCAAGCTGATTTTTGGGGTTAAAATCGAATATAAAATTGTAGATAATTCGAAAGTGCTCTTCGAGCTGAGTTGAAGATTTCTGAAAATTCTGTAACCTATTCCTTTTTACCGAATTGCAGCCATTAAATGCGAACTTGCTCTCCGTAGCATGCCAGAAAGTGTTAATTAAACAAAAATGCAGTTGCTTGTAACTTTATCAGAACCGATTTATATCGTAGAGCTCTTTCGAAAGGCATTTTGTTTGTCCCTATCGGAGTATGGAAGATATAGCGGAATTTTACCTTCCCCAATTTTATTAACTTCCATTCTCAACAAATTTATTTTAACACTTCCATCCTCGTTTTTATTATTTTCTGTAGATTCAACCAAAATTCGTTGATTATTTTTATAATCAGAAGAAAAAGAATAATCAAATAATATTAAAAATAATATTTTAAAAATAAATAAAAATTTAATTAAAAACATTTTTAAAAAATTAATTTTAATTTTAGTTGATGGATTCCTCCGTGTTTTATACTAAAGTGTGAAGCAAAATTTGTTTTTACCAATAATAAATTATTTCTTAATTGCACTTTAAGGACATTATTAAATAATGATAAATAAATATATTATTTCTTAATAAGAATCTACCGACAAAGTACCTATATACACGCAGGTGTACTTTTCATCAATTATTATTTATTATTAAGGAATTTTTTCTGTTTTTATTTGAATTTTAAATTGTTGCCCTCAACCTAATTACTAGAAATGTTTTTATAATTTTGAAGCAAACAAAACATTTGTCTTTTGAAAAGTTTAATAACATAATTTAATATACATACTTTTATTTTATTTATTAATTTATAATTAAATAAGAATGAAAAATGGCATTTTTAAAATTAATTTAAAGGCATAAAATGTTTAAATAAACGAAATTTTTTTAAGTAAAAATTTAAAAATTAGTAGAGAAAGTTAATAAAATAATGGATTTGTATTTTTTCCATCATGATGAATATGAGAGACTTTACAATTGTAGTATTTACAATGTTGACCAAATCCCTTTAGAAAAACGCCAACACAAATTACTGGCAATTTTTGTTGTTATTTTGTCTACAATATATGAGGTACGCAAAAAATCAGCGAGTTTCTGGGCGAGGACCAAGACGAAATTTCGAAGCCCGAGGTCAGCAAAATCGAGGTAGAGTTTGAGAAATCGGCGATGTCCTCGGCGAGGCCTCGACCTACTTTAATCCATTTGAAGATTAAATTATTAATAACTAGATTCTCTATATTCCTTGTATGTTTTCAATTTGGAAGCGAATGGCAAACAGTCATTGTTACAAAATAATGTTCGCTATTGGAGTTATTGATATGGCTACTATTTTAGATGCTGGATTTCTAACCGGATATTTGGGATATTTTGGATATGTTTTTTGTTCTTCTCCAAAATTTATTTATTTTGTTGGAGTATATGGATTTTGTTTGTATTTTTAATGATTTAATGATATTTAATTATTAGTTTGCTGGTCAGCTGAAACTATAATGGAAGTAATTTTAGCTATAAATCGTTGCATTGAACTACTGTCTTCTGAACTGGCTACAAAAATTTTTGGGGGTTGGAAAATAATTTTATTCAAGAAATTTCTAAATTTTTCCTTATATTTAATTAAAAGGTAAAAAACTGCTTTTTTGGCTTGGGATTCCAATACTATACGGTCTATCTATAATAACTTGGTCAGAACCAGTAATATTCACCGGCATCTACTTTAGCTGGTTCCTCAATCCGCACATTGGATATATTGATGATGTTAATCATGTACTCGTTTGAATATTTGTTTAAAATATTTAATTTGTTAAAAGGAATATGAGAACACTCTTCTAGCATTTCACAATCCATTAATTATATTCTTTCTGTTAATTACTTACTTAACGTTTTTTATAATTTTCGTAATAAAATCCAAACATGGAGAATTTGAATCAAGTCAACAAAGCTACTCAGAAATAATGGTTTTTTACATTAAATATAGTCACAACCCTAAATTTCAGATTTTCCTTCAAATCTTTTTAATTAGCTTATTTAATAGTGGCGCTGCTTTTATTTACGTTTATATGCAATATATCCACATTAATGAAGTTGTAATTATAATTGGTCAAATATGCTGGTTAAATGCACACGGTGGAAAATATTTTCTTTATAATACTTCAAATTAAATTATAGTTAATATGCTTGTTGGTTTCATGTTCGACGTCCTAATTTCATAACTTTCTTTTACTTAATACGAAAACTCTTAGTTTCAATTATACATACTTGCTCAATTCGGTTAACCGAACTGAAAACAGGCTAATTTTAAGCCACGTTACAATAACTCTTTAAAAAGTCTACATATTAATGCCAAACTACATAAGGCTCTCCCCTATATTTCATGCAAACCATATCTCAGTAAAAAGCAATGTGTTTAGCAATGTGGAATACCTTTTGGAATACAACGCGCTTCGCGCGGTGTAATGCGGGACGTGTCTCTAGTGAGTAAACGGTTGCTAGGTCTTGTCCCAAGTTACGTAAACCTGTTCCTAGCAAAGGGGTTTTTATTTTTATTGATGAACTTAAATACAAAGACACGCCATCTAATAATAAGATTAATTATTTTAGGAATACCTCCTGTCATTTACTTAACAATGAACAAGTCAATTCAACGCGATTGTTACAGAATATTAAAAAAGTGTGTCAAATCTAATATTCAAAGCTACAAAAATCTACACTCAAATGCTGTCCAACCTTTAAGTCGTCAAATAAATTTTGAAAGTGGAGCTAATCAAGTCAACGTGCAAAATTAACGAATTAATAAAAATTGAATTCACGTTTTTATTCTACAAACAAATACACCGTCTCAATCCAATCAATTGTTAAGACAAATAATTTGAAATGCTAGCGAAGGTTGCCTAATCTATAGCCTAATCTAAATCCGCTAGCCTAATCTAAATCATAACATAACTCAAGTCAATTCAACTCTTTTCCGGACTTACTTTTCCTTCTCTGAAAACTTTTTCCTATTCATTGACTCTCCTTGAAACACACTTGATCTATCCAATTCATCTAAAACATAAAAAACGTTTAAACCTTTATATTTCAATAAATATACGCATAAACTTTAAAAACATTAAAAAAACTTGAAAAAAAAATTAAAAAACATAAGTATTTAGGGAAGATAACAAAACAAATGTTGAAATATTGTATGATCTGAAAATAATTGTAGTATTGAGTACAAATCTTACAATATTCCGGCAGGGACACGCCCGAAAAGGCGCGGGCCGAAAAGGCGCGACCGAAAAGGCGCGACCGAATAGGCGCCGGCCGAATAGGCGCCAAGCTTTTAATTAACAACCCACTTCCACAAGGCCTACGGGGAAAAAAGTTTTTGCCGCTGCGGAGGAAGCCGGGTATGTCGAGCGGAACGACGGCCGCCGCTTCGCTACGGTCGCCGCGAGCGAAGCGAGCACGACCGCAGCGAAGCACGGCCATCGTGTAGCGAAGACCATGCCCGGCCTACCCTCCATAGCAGCACAAAAACAGTTTTTCCAGCGAAGGTTCAGTTGATCATAATTCTGTTCAGAATCACCCAATCAAGCTGATTTTGGTGTCATTGGACTCAGCTCGTCGAGCTCTTTCGAATGACATATAAATTGTCCAATTTTGAGTCTGGTACGTAAACTAGTTAGGCCGGTTTTTTAAATTAGAAAATTTTTTTGTAAAATTTTTTTCTGTAATTCAGCATGGTCTCATTTGATGGTCGTTGGGACCATTCTAATTGATTATAAATCAGAATATTTAATTAAAAAGATTGGCGCCTATTCGGCCGGCGCCTATATGGCCTCTAAAAAATTAAAAACCGAAAAGAATTAGAAAATAAATAGTTGGCTTAAAATTCTCAAAATTTTCGCCTGGGGCGCTGAAATGGAAGGAAACTGGAAGGAAACTCACTTAATAAATATAAAACATCTTTCATTTGCAAAAAACATCTTTGAAAATTTTAGGAATATTTGAAATTTATCTTAAAAAATCAGTCACCCGTGTAATAAATAAAATTAAATAGTTTCAATTTATCCAACTCAAAAAGAATACAATTCAAAAGATAAATAATGTGGATCTCAACGGTCAACAATGTTGAGTCCTTGTGAATAAATTAAAATAAAAAAATTAAAATAAGGATATATTGGGGCATTTCACATTTTAATTTAAAACAATTTTTAAAATAATGTTGACTCCCGGTATACCTTTACAAACTTATACTGTTTCTGCTGTTGTAATGTTGTTTAAATATTTAAAATTAAGGCTTAGTTATAACATGAATCAAATATATTTTTTGGTTAAGGTTATCGTTTGATTTTAAACAATTTAGAGAATTTACACTTTTACAGGCCCGCTTAACACTACCGTTTTTAAATGCTATCACTAACATTTACTAACTTCTTTTTGCCTCATCTTTGTATTCTTTATCAAATACATGATAAAAAAGAGTTCTAAACCATCTTTCTTTTAATTCAACAATAAAATCATCATATTTTTCCTGCAATTTTTCACGTTCATCTTCTATGTTAATTTAACTTTCGCCAACTCAACTAACAACTATTGAGTTTCGACGATTATCAACATCAAGTTTAAAACTATCAAGTTTTGAAAATGAAAAAAACAGACAGGATGAAGTTATAAAATGATTATTTTATTTAAAAACAAAACAATTTGAGCAGTGTTTTTCGCGAAGCTAGCAAAAGAATGCCGGAATGGGTACAGCCCGAAAAGGCGCGGGCCGAAAAGGCGCGACCGAAAAGGCGCGACCGAATAGGCGCCGGCCGAATAGGCGCGAGGCCATATAGGCGCCGGCCGAATAGGCGCCAATCTTTTTAATTAAATATTCTGATTTATAATCAATTAGAATGGTCCCAACGACCATCAAATGAGACCATGCTGAATTACAGAAAAAAATTTTACAAAAAAATTTTCTAATTTAAAAAACCGGCCTAACTAGTTTACGTACCAGACTCAAAATTGGACAATTTATATGTCATTCGAAAGAGCTCGACGAGCTGAGTCCAATGACACCAAAATCAGCTTGATTGGGTGATTCTGAACAGAATTATGATCAACTGAACCTTCGCTGGAAAAACTGTTTTTGTGCTGCTATGGAGGGTAGGCCGGGCATGGTCTTCGCTACACGATGGCCGTGCTTCGCTGCGGTCGTGCTCGCTTCGCTCGCGGCGACCGTAGCGAAGCGGCGGCCGTCGTTCCGCTCGACATACCCGGCTTCCTCCGCAGCGGCAAAAACTTTTTTCCCCGTAGGCCTTGTGGAAGTGGGTTGTTAATTAAAAGCTTGGCGCCTATTCGGCCGGCGCCTATTCGGTCGCGCCTTTTCGGTCGCGCCTTTTCGGCCCGCGCCTTTTCGGGCGTGTCCCTGCCGGAATATTGTAAGATTTGTACTCAATACTACAATTATTTTCAGATCATACAATATTTCAACATTTGTTTTGTTATCTTCCCTAAATACTTATGTTTTTTAATTTTTTTTTCAAGTTTTTTTAATGTTTTTAAAGTTTATGCGTATATTTATTGAAATATAAAGGTTTAAACGTTTTTTATGTTTTAGATGAATTGGATAGATCAAGTGTGTTTCAAGGAGAGTCAATGAATAGGAAAAAGTTTTCAGAGAAGGAAAAGTAAGTCCGGAAAAGAGTTGAATTGACTTGAGTTATGTTATGATTTAGATTAGGCTAGCGGATTTAGATTAGGCTATAGATTAGGCAACCTTCGCTAGCATTTCAAATTATTTGTCTTAACAATTGATTGGATTGAGACGGTGTATTTGTTTGTAGAATAAAAACGTGAATTCAATTTTTATTAATTCGTTAATTTTGCACGTTGACTTGATTAGCTCCACTTTCAAAATTTATTTGACGACTTAAAGGTTGGACAGCATTTGAGTGTAGATTTTTGTAGCTTTGAATATTAGATTTGACACACTTTTTTAATATTCTGTAACAATCGCGTTGAATTGACTTGTTCATTGTTAAGTAAATGACAGGAGGTATTCCTAAAATAATTAATCTTATTATTAGATGGCGTGTCTTTGTATTTAAGTTCATCAATAAAAATAAAAACCCCTTTGCTAGGAACAGGTTTACGTAACTTGGGACAAGACCTAGCAACCGTTTACTCACTAGAGACACGTCCCGCATTACACCGCGCGAAGCGCGTTGTATTCCAAAAGGTATTCCACATTGCTAAACACATTGCTTTTTACTGAGATATGGTTTGCATGAAATATAGGGGAGAGCCTTATGTAGTTTGGCATTAATATGTAGACTTTTTAAAGAGTTATTGTAACGTGGCTTAAAATTAGCCTGTTTTCAGTTCGGTTAACCGAATTGAGCAAGTATGTATAATTGAAACTAAGAGTTTTCGTATTAAGTAAAAGAAAGTTATGAAATTAGGACGTCGAACATGAAACCAACAAGCATATTAACTATAATTTAATTTGAAGTATTATAAAGAAAATATTTTCCACCGTGTGCATTTAACCAGCATATTTGACCAATTATAATTACAACTTCATTAATGTGGATATATTGCATATAAACGTAAATAAAAGCAGCGCCACTATTAAATAAGCTAATTAAAAAGATTTGAAGGAAAATCTGAAATTTAGGGTTGTGACTATATTTAATGTAAAAAACCATTATTTCTGAGTAGCTTTGTTGACTTGATTCAAATTCTCCATGTTTGGATTTTATTACGAAAATTATAAAAAACGTTAAGTAAGTAATTAACAGAAAGAATATAATTAATGGATTGTGAAATGCTAGAAGAGTGTTCTCATATTCCTTTTAACAAATTAAATATTTTAAACAAATATTCAAACGAGTACATGATTAACATCATCAATATATCCAATGTGCGGATTGAGGAACCAGCTAAAGTAGATGCCGGTGAATATTACTGGTTCTGACCAAGTTATTATAGATAGACCGTATAGTATTGGAATCCCAAGCCAAAAAAGCAGTTTTTTACCTTTTAATTAAATATAAGGAAAAATTTAGAAATTTCTTGAATAAAATTATTTTCCAACCCCCAAAAATTTTTGTAGCCAGTTCAGAAGACAGTAGTTCAATGCAACGATTTATAGCTAAAATTACTTCCATTATAGTTTCAGCTGACCAGC